ACAAAAATACGGGCAAAATGAAACTCAAACCTACTAACCGGATCGAAGCGACGATGAAGAAGATAGTTGTTTGGCATCGTCTGAAGACGACGCAACGACGATGATGAAAACAAGAATGCAGCAGCAACAACGAAGCTGGAAGAAGCAGAAGATGAAGTTGTGGTCGTTCATGGCTGGTTTGGTGGCGATGAAGAAAACGAAGATCGAAACAATGGGGTTATGGGTGATGATGGTCGTGACGATGACAGAGCTGGAGGTCGACTGGGCAGTGTCGACGATTGGTCGTTCGACTGAAGGAGATGACGACGAAGTAGCAGAAGGAGCAGCAAACGCAATAGTGGCGTAGCAACATCATTGATGGGCAGCAGCAGACGCAGCAGTGGCGGAGCAGCAACAGCAGACGCAGCAGCGGCGGAGCAGCAGCAGCATGCAACAGTGATGGATGTCGTTGGTTGTTTGGATGATTTCGACGTGAGTATGGCTGGTTGCTGCTGGGTTGTCATGAGGACGATGAAGCCACGAGAGGGGGGAGGGGCAGCCATGGCAACTGGAGTTATCGTGGTCGATGGGTTGAGTCGAGGAAGAAGAAAACGCAGCGAGGGTTGGCTGTTTGGATGTGCAGGAGCAGGAGTTCATATTGTGCATGTGTGTGTGTGTTGAAGGAGAAGAGGCGGGGGAGAAGGGAAGCCATGGTTGGAGCTCGGAGGTTTTGAGAAGATGAAGAGAAAGAGAGGGGGCGGGTAGTGTAGGTTTAGTTTTAGGGGTTTTTGGAGTGGAAAATGAAAAATGGGAAGATGGGGGTGGGTCTTTGGGGTTATGGACCGGGTTGACCCGGTTTGAAATGGGCCGGGTCGTAGGGAAGGTTGGGTATGTTTTGAGCCTGTGGCTTGAATTTGAAGAAGAGCCCAATTCCGATTCTCTTTATATTTTTTGCTCTATTTTCTTCTACTTTCTAATTAATAAAACTAAAATTCTAAATTAAGTTATAAACTAAATTAACTTATCAAAAATACTAAATAATTCCAAATAACTATTATCGCATATTTAAATAGCAATTAACGATAAAATCGCACAATTTAGACGTTAAATGCTAAAATGCAACGTACATTATTATTATTATTTTTTATGATTTTTTCATTTTTGTAAAAAAAAACTTAAATAAATACTAAACGAAAATGTGACATATTTTATTTTTTTATATTTTTTAAACAAATAAACATGCACAGACAAAAAATACAAATAATTATACAAAAATACCACAAAAATTCTAAAATTGCACACAAAGGAAAATTATTTTATTTTGGATTTTTTTTGGAGTAATTCTCATATACGGCAAAAATCACGTGCTTACAATTACCGGATAGCGAAATATTAATTAATTCAATTAATTGATTGTTGAATAATATTAAAATCCCCACCCCACCCCCCACGTGGCAGCAAGCCACCAAATCAAACAAATGACTCTTAGTCATTGTTGATTAGGTGGCAAACTAGTAGGATAACTAAAACTTTTCTAACAATCACAAGTTTACAACTTGAAATGAAACAACCTACATCAACATTCGTATAACAACTTCTCTGAATAAACAAGCAAATAAGAAGAAGTATCTAAATGCAACAATAAGCTTTCAACATCAGACGTTAACAATTTCAACAAGAATTATTAGCACCTTAGCAACGTAAAATTTTATGATACTAAAGGAGTACGGTGCAATCTTTTTCAAGAATATCATATGGATTTTTTCCTACTCCAGGTATGTTTAGGCTAAGCTTTTCCTTTATTTTGGCATGATCTCATAATTACACAAGTTTGATATTGAGGCATTAAGAGAAATTCATATTCCAAAAATTATGTATATTTTCCTAGTCTCGTAAGTTACAATATTATCCTTATCGGGACATCATATTCAATTGAGTATTTCTTCTTCCAGTCAAGATATCAGAGAATCAATATATACAGTATTATAGTATTTTCATTACTATCGAGCTATAATCGATGGGCAGGCCCCTATTGGGCAACCTTTGATCAGATAGTAAGTTATATACCGAGCCTACTGTGGTCGAGCGCCTATGAGCAAGCCTACTTGGCCGAGATACAAAGCCTAGTATGGTCGAGCGCCTATGAGTGAACCTACTACGGCAGAGCAGTTATATATATATATATACCGAGCCTTATAAGGCCGGACAACTATTTTACTTACTATATTGAGAGAATATCAGCATGTGAACATATCTTTAGATTATTTTTGACTCATAGTTGCTCTCAGTTATTATATTATGAGTTCAGTTTTAGCGTTCAGTATATTGCCTTACATACTCGGTACATTATTTCGTACTGGAGTCCCTTTTCTAGGGGCGCTATATTTCATACATGCAGGTTCATACAGACAGACGGGTAGACCTCCTCATTAGATATTTCCCGAGTTCAGCTTAATCGGTAAGCTCCATAACTTTTGGAGTTGTCGGGTCCAGAGCTTTACGTACATCTTTGTATAAATGTATATATGTTATGATTAGGTTGGGGCCCTATTCCGATCATAGTATATCTATCAGTAGAGGCTTGTAGTCATATCCTATCAGTTAATGTAGTATGATGGGCTTATAGGTCTTCTGTGTACATTTTGTTGGTTTGTCGATGTCACGATCTTAAACCGGACTCAGTCGTGATGGCGCCTATCGTGAAACAAGTCCAGCCGACACAATTCCCCAATATCAATTTAACAGTTATAATAATTCATTTTAAGTTATTAATAAGCTATAAATCCCAAAATAAAAAATAGATTAGAACAATACGGAAACAAACACAGCCCGACATCCGGGAGTCACCAGTCATGAGCATCTAAAATTTATCTAAGTGTATGAAAAGACTACATAGTCTATTACAAGCCAGATCAACAGGAAAAAAAAGATAGGAAGGAGAAGTACTGGGTTGCGAATACCTGGCAGTTACCTAGTCAACTTCAAATAGCTTGCTGGAGAACAAATCAACAATCGCTAGCGTGACCCAAGACTCCTGAATCTGAACACGGGGTGCAATGAGTAATGTGAGTATGCCAACTCAGTAAGTAATAAAAGTAAAGGCATGTCAGCGATAAGTAAACACATGAAAACACAGCATAATGCTACAACAAAACAGTATAAAAGCAGAACAATGCAATAAAGCAGTCAAAACTCATAAAAACACCTTAGTTTAGTTAAAACCTCTTTAAAACGTCTTTTAACATTTCAAACGAGTGAATAAAACAGGAGAAAAGGATAAAAACACAAATCAGCCCCTCGGGCTATCTCACAATCACTCGTATTAGCCCCTCGGGCTATATCACATCTCACACTGGGTAACCATGCTCACTGGGGGTGTACAGACTCCGGGAGGGGCTCCTTACAGCCCAAGCACAATATCAAGCCATCTCGTGGCATAATCAAATACGCACTCGGCCTTATAACAAGCCACCTTGTTGCGTAGCAAATCAGACCCTTGGCCTCATAATCATGAATCAGTATAACACTACTATGGCGTACAACCTGATCCCATAGTATCCTCACAACACAAGCCTTCGACCTTACTCAGTCAGAATTCTCTCAAAGCCATTCGAACATAGTGAAACATGATGCTCAGCCCAAAATTTCATTTAAAATATCAAAAAACGAGTAAATATGGCTGAGTCATGAAAAGAGTAAAACACAGCATGACTGAGTACAAATATAAAGTCTAAACAATGAGGAATAGTTGTAAAAATACCCTAAGGGTCCAAAACAGTTGGCACGAGGCCCAAATATGGCATTCAGCCCAAAACATGATGATAGCAGACAGTTTTCAATCAAATACGCGACTAAAAAGTCATTCAGATGGACTAATTCAGAATCCCCAATTGTGCACGACCCCAAGCTCGTCATCTAGCATGTGAGTCACCCCATAGTAGCACAACGATGTGAAATCTGGGGTTTCATACCCTCAGGACAGCATTTACAAACATTACTTACCTTTATCCGGTCCAAACTATAGCCTACGATGCCTTTGCCTCTCGCCTCAGCCTCAACTCACGTCGAATCTATCCAAAATCAGAATCATGACGTCAAAATATGCTAAGGGAACGAAACCCATGCGAAAATAATCAAATTACAACACAAATCCCGAAATTGACCAAACCCGACCCCCAGGCCCATATCTAGGAAACCGACAAAATCTACATCAATGGAATCTTTATTCTCCCCCGAGTTCATTCATATCAAAAGTACCAAAATCCGCCCACAAATGACCCCTCAAATCCTCAAGTCAAGGTCTCCAATACCAAGCCCTGATTCCCAATATTAACCCTTAATTTCCATTAATTTCAAGCCAAATCACTGAAATAACACCATATGTCACACCTCCTTTTTACCTACACCCCCGGAAGGGTGTATAAGGGAGGTTTTTTCAATTTAAGTGACAAACAAAACGGAATTTATTTATTAAAAGAATTCAGAGTCGCCACTTGGGATATTTATGGTGTCCCAAGTCACCGGTTCAAAATCCCGAATCGAGGAAAATGTTAACTCTGTATTACAGTCCGTGAACTAGAAATCCGAGTAAGGAATTCTGTTAACCCGGGAGAAGGTGTTAGGCATTCCCAGATTCTGTGGTTCTAGCACAGTCGCTTAACTGTTATATTTGGCCTAATTATATTGATTTACTGCACTTTTGAACCTATGTGCATTTTAACCTTTGAAAACCGCTTTTACTTATTTAGAGAATTAATTCAAGATTATTTAAAACATATTGAAAGCCATGCCACATTAAATGCACCCGTGGTTCACGACACGTTCTATTTAACCTTGTTGGAAATTAGAACCGGGCCACATGAAATGTACCCCCAGGTTTTAGTAATAACCATGATAACTATATAATTAACGCGCCTAAAGCAAACTAGGACGTTCATTTTTTAAGATTATTTGGCCACGTTATGAAATAGGGAAGTTATGTAACTTATAAGAATGAATCCATAATTATTAAAATAAGCATACATCATGAGATGCCACAATAACTCTAGGAAATTTTACCACTACTAATGGCTTGAAGCAATCTATTGCAGCATTTGCTGAACGGGATAACAATTAGAAATACACTATTCAAATTTACAATCAGTTGAAAATTGAACTTCAATGAAAGTAAATTTAGAAGGAAAAAAAATCTGTTTCCTAAGCCAAGCCATTAAAATTTGGGTCTAAAATGCAAATCAAATAATATGGCAAAGAAATATTAAACATAGAATGTTCTTGAAATTAGCTCTTCAGACTAAAAACGACTATGCGGTAAACTCGGAATCTTCACGTTGTACATTCAAGAATTCAATTTCTAATCATTATTAGTGAATATATGGTTAATGGATGAATCTCCGTTATTACTTTAAAAAGATTTAAGTACCAAGATAATTAAGTTACAATTAAAACTAAGATGTACCACACTTCTAAACTTCCGAAAATGTTCACGAAAATACGTCCAAATGGACTTCAAAGCCTTGGCCTAACAGTGTCATATTAAAGTATGTTTACCCCAGATTAATCACTAATAATAAACTATCCATTTACAACTTTTCGCATAACCAAATGAAAATAATCAACTAAATATTCAACAATCCACCAAACGGGTTCATTCTAGGCATAGTTATCATTGTCTGTTAACTACACGAACAAAGAAATCAATTTGAGCATTATTGAACCAATCCGAGTTTCATTTGTTAGTCTCAAAAATAACAGCGGATCAACACAAACTCAAAGCCCGACCTCAATTACAGTACCTTAACAGTGAGAAATCAACAAGAATTAAGCTTCAAAACACCACATATTACGCAAAAAATCAAGCTCAAAGAATCCATGTTGACTGAATTCGGTCAGTCATTTCCACAAGCACCTTATGTACATAACTGAAGCTTCGTTTCTCTAAGTCCCCATAATTCTATACCTTAGCCAAAATTTAACCATCAAATTGGGATTCAATAATCACCCAACAATAGCCATTTGTAGTTACACTCTCAAGAACAACAAAAATCTCGACAAGAGATTAACCCAACAAGAATAAAAAGTTGCAGAAATCCGGGCAGCGGGGAGAAAGGAAGAAGTACCAGTAAGTATATTGATATACGAGAGAGAAAAGAGAGACCTGAGATGCTTGGAGTTCGATCTTGCAAGGTTAACAATCGACTGGCCGAGCAAATGAATCGGCAATTCAGAGCATCTAAAATTAAAGCTTCATTCAACTGAAATTCGGCAATTACACAGTCATAATGAAGTTCCAAACAATGAAATTTCGAACTCGGACTGGATTCGCAACCTCGAACGGACGGAACTTCAATCGGTGCAGAAAATCATCTTAGGCGTTAGGTTTGGTTTTGATGGGTGTTTGGGATCGATGGCTGATGGGTTTTATGTGTTTAGAACCTGAAAAGGAAGTAGAACGAGAGGGATCGTTTTTGTTCTAGTAGAAGAGAGCTAGGGTCGTTTGGAGAAGACGATCCGAAGGGGTGGGGGTCTCTTTCAAAAGCTGCGTAGCTTTTTAGCTTTCCCTCAGCGTTCTTCTTCTTTTTCGTTGCTTTTTATTTTATTGTCTAGGTTTTTGGTAGGGTTTTAGGTTAAGGGGTATGGGCCTAGGAATTATGGGCTTGGAAATTATGGGCTAGGTCCAAAATTAGGCCTAAAGATAGGTTGCTCGAGACCAAGCTCTATTCTTTCACTGCGAACGAGATTAAAAATACAGGCCCATTTATTAATTATTCCTACTATTCAAATAATTATTAAAATAAAACTAACCATTAAAACAAATCTATTTTTGGTATTTTCAAATATCATATTAAAATAAAAATACGATACTATTGTTGTATATATTTTTTTTAAGATTTGTTTTTAGATTAAAAATGACTACAAAACATTAATGAACCTATTCTTGTGATTTTTTTATTTTCTTGTAATAAAATAAAGTAAAAGAGTCAAAATTACTTAAAATATCTATATTATGCCTAAATTAAATATTTTACGCTAATATATGAAAAATCTTGGGGAGGGTCAAAAATCACATGTCTACAGCTGCCCCTCTTTGACTGGAAACGCGAAGCGTTTTCAGACAAAGAATGACTAGACAGGTTTTTGACCGGACCCTTATTTGGAGAGACTAAAACTAAGAGAAAAGGGGAATGTGTCCGAGCCCTGGTATATGGGCTGCCTACATATCCTTGGCTATAAAGGAATCAAGCCACGTGTAGTTCAGAAATGAGTGAGGTGATGGAGTATACTGAGGTGGAGAGCCAGTCGAGGTGCCGTTCCATCGAGGTTCTGGTCCGCAGTCCTACTATTACATAAAAAACAAAACATGAAAAAGACTAGCTAAGCCTATCAACTACGAGTTACAAGATTCCTATCTATAAGTCTTCTGAAGCTTGATCTTGAGTCTTGAATGGTTCTTCATGCAGACTTTAGATTTGAACCTTGGCGCTTGTTAGCTGCAGGTGCTAGCTCGTTCTTCTACAGCTTTTGGGTCAGGACCGGACATGTAGTTCTTATGACTTCCACCACGTCTTAAGCAATTCACATCTTTCATCAACTTCTGCATTTGAATTCACTACTTGCCTTTCTCTCTTTTTCTTTATTGTGACTAACTTCTGCTGATCACCTCGGACTGTTCACTCGCATTCTTGCCGCGAGATTCTTTGGTTGCTGACTTGAATTGCAATCTGAGATGCTTTTCCTTTTCTTCAGGTGGACGCCTGACTGTTGAACTTGAACCGTCTCCTCTTATTACTTGACACTGTTTTCCCTTGCACCTTGAACCATTTCCCATTAAACTATAACTGTCTCCCCTTATTCTCCAGGTGGGCGCCTGATTACAACAAAATAGACAAAACAAAGAAATTTTTCTGCCCCAGTTTGCATTAGGAAGATTTGTGAGTTGTTAGCAAAATTGTAAACCACTTGTACTATTGATGCAATCATGAAATTAAACTAAAGAATAAACTAGGAAAACTATAAACTAAGCTTGACCAAAGTAAAAACTGACCCTATTCTCCAGGCGGGGCCCCTGACTATTAACTTGAAATGTATTCCCTGCTCTCCAGGCGGGCTCCTGACTCCAAAATGTGAATATATTCCCATGCTATCCAGGCGGGCTCCTGACTTCAACAAAATAGACAAAACAAAGAAAATTTTCTGCCTTGGTTTGGTGGCTGGGCAAAGATGTAAGGGTAAAATGGATCACATTACCAAATATCAATAAGAACTTGAAAGCTGAAACATGAATTGTACTCCCTTGTTTTCCAGGCGGGCTCCTGATTGCTGACTTGAAAGTATTCCCTACTTTCCAGGCGAGCTCCTGATTGCTGACTTGAAAGTATTCCCTGCTTTTCAGGCGGGCTCCTGACTTCAACTTGAAAGTGCTCCCTGCTCTCCAGTGGGCTCCTGACTTCAAGATAGACAACACAAAGAATTTGAAAGCTAAAATTTAAATTGTACTCCCTTGTTCTCCAGGCGGGCTCCTGCTTCTACGCTTGAAAGTATTCCCTGCTCTCCAGGCGGGCTCCTGACTTCAACTTGACAAAACAAAGAATTTGAAATCTAAAATTTAAATTGTACTCCCTTGTTCTCCAGGCGGGCTCCTGACTGCTGACTTGAAAGTACTCCCTGCTCTCCAGGCGGGCTCCTGACTTCAACTTGAAATGTATTCCTTGCTCTCCATGCGGGCTCCTGACTTCTAACTTGAAATGTATTCCCTACTCTCCAAGCGGGCTCCTGACTTCAAGATAGACAAAACAAAGAATTTGAAAGCTAAAACTTAAATTGTACTCTCTTGTTCTCCAGGCGGGCTTCTGACTGCTACGTTTGAATATATTCCCTGCTCTCCAAGCGGGCTCCTGACTTCAACTTGAAATGTATTCCCTGCTCTCCAGGCGGGCTCCTGACTGCTACTCTTGAAATGTATTCCCTACTCTCCAGGCGGGCTCCTGACTTCAACATGGACAAAATAAAGAATTTGAAAGCTAAAATTTAAGTTGTACTCCCTTGTTCTCCAGGCGGGATCCTGACTGCTAACTTGAAATGTATTCCCCGCTTTCCAGGCGGGCTCCAGACTGCTGCGCTTGAAAGTATTCCCTGCTCTCCAGGCGGGCTCCCGACTGCTGGCTTGAAATGTATTCCCTGCTCTCCAGGCGGGCTCCTAACTTCAACAAAGACAAAACAAAGAATTTGAAAGCTAAAATTTAAATTGTACTCCCTTGTTCTCCAAGCGGGCTCCTGACTGCTGCGCTTGAAAGTATTCCCTACTCTCTAGGCGGGCTTCTGACATCAACTTGAAATGTATTCCCTGCTCTCCAGGCGGGCTCCTAACTTCAACATAGACAAAACAAAGAATTTGAAAGCTAAAA